TGAAGGGTCTGACAGGCGTGCAGCATACCGGCGCATGTCTTAAAGTAAGGAGTAATCATTCTGGCAAGCTATTTCATGCATCGGGGTTTCTCCTTGATTCAAGGGGATCTGCTGCACCTGTTAGGAGAGACAGGGTTCATTATAACCCATCCAGCACAAGTCGATACAGCTTCGTCGCCTTGGACGGTGCCGGTCGGCGGTGGCGCTGACAAGGTTACGTCATCACCCTGTGTTGCCTCCGCACGAGAATCTATCCGGCCAAAATCTGTTAGGCTACTCCCTCTATATTGTACCATTTCTTTATGTATTTTCCCCAGCTTTTACTGTCTTTACAGACCTGATGTTGGTTAGTTCTCAAGTAAGAAGGCCTTGGCGAACAAAAAAAGTGAATGAACATGGCAATGACCGTAAAAAGGCTAAGCCGTTACGCCGACTGAGCGGCAACGCGATGGCTATTGCTGTCATGCCAAGCGTTAAGGTCCGATATGGTGGCCTTGAAACCAAGGCAAATCTAGATGGAAAGTGAAAATTAGACCCTGCGCGCTGTCAGTTAGAGGGTGATAGGGAGAGACCGACCGCGCATGGTGCGATTTCAGACGCGGATAGGTGTGGGACTTTCGCGGCTTTTCCCCGGCGCGAAACACGAAGGAGGGAAGCACTCCGTAAGGCGGATGATGGGATGTTGGAAGCTTGGCTGGAAACGGCTGACTGGATGTTATTGATGCCTGAGTTTATCCTCCTTCGGCTTACCAGTGCTGCGAAGGGAGGGTAGAGCATGAGTAGAGAGAGGGGGGAAAACAGGTGGAGTTGGTAATTGAATTGGACAATCTTGTCAAGCAGACGAACTGCTGATTGCGCGCCAAAACGAAAAGGGAAAAAAAACAGTTCGGACAAAATTGCCGGACGTGCATTGATGTTTTGCAGAGTGAAGAGAGTAGAATTGCTGAGTGAGCATCTTCTTTGAAAATCACGGACAGTTCCTTTTTCCTTTTCCTTCAGCCTGTTCGTGTCTTCCCCCGTACAAGAACCGGGTCGGTGAAACGAATATATGCCACTTTAAGAGCGGTTTTCACTCAGTTTCGACAATTATTTGGGGGTAGAAAAGATAGGATGACGCCACTTATGGCGTTGAGTGTTTAATGCGGAGTATTGAAAGAAGACGAGTAGAGAGGGAAGAAGAGAGGGTCGTTGCCTCCGAGAATCGTAGCTATCAGAAGGCAATCGCTCGTCGGTCTTCGTCTTGATGAAGTAAAAGCGTGATTGGATCGGTCACCAGTCGCCGCTCCACTAAGTCCCTCGCCAATTACTCGTTGTCTTTCTTGCAGGGGGGGGGGAGAGAGAGAATCGCGATCACTTGCTGGCTGATCGTGGCCATGAGGAGACAACGATTGCGCACAGAGCCAGTGTTTGCCGCTTCAGACCAGTCGGTCTGCTGCCAGCTTGCGTCCATGCGACGCCAGCTCTTTCTGTTCGTACATCATTCATGCCCACCTATCCTAATACATTAATATAAATCATCGGCTCGTGGAATTACATGTAGTATGAAACGCAAAGCTGCACAGAGGAGAAAATGACTCTTCTGTGTCGTTAAAGAAACTTTCTCCACACCGACAACAGAATTACACAATCGAGGCTAGGTGGGGTTCACCGCTAGAGGGCTCTGCAATCCGGGAAGAATAATTACTCATGCCTTCTTTTTAATTTCCTCCATCCAATACCTTTGCCCAATATTAAGAAATCTTGCGGTAGAATTTCACTCGTATGTTGAGCACCGGTCGCTTTCTGAGAGATTTCAGTTTCATGCATGAACTGGGTGCGTTGGGCATTTATAATGTTTCCCTATAATGTACGGACTATTCGCTGTCTCTACTTGCTATGGGTGAAATAACACCAGCATCATTCACCTTTAACATGAAAATAAGGCTTTACACCTCAGGGTTCCCAGCTGACAACGCTTCGAGAATTTTGATATTGACGATCATTCCACATTGGTGTCATTTTTGCCAGCTCCGCGAGTGTTTGTGTGAGGGTAAGAAACGACGAGAGAGCTGGGAACAGAGAACATTGACCGGCGCTCATAATATCACCCACCGCTGCAGGGCGGGAAATAAACTGTCCCTCAATAATAATGAGACGATGTCCGGTCTAACCGTCGCCATTGCCTGCTCCTGCCGCCTGAGGCGCCCTTCGCCCATCCAGGCGTCAATGAGCAGTGTCACCCCGCACGCATGAACCACCAGGCCCGCTGGACATATATGATAAACCACCCCCAACTTGTAGCCCTGAACGGTTGTTTCTTGTTTCTCTCCAAAAACAAGTAATAATTGATCGATATGCGCGTTGTGAGATCCTATAATACTAGCTTGTGGCTTGCACCCTGACGCGAAAGGCGTTCGGCTGCATAAGAAATTCGGCCTTTATGGAACTGCACCGGATGAGTTTTAGTCATAATTATGTGGTCATGACCTAATTATGCGCATTGTGTTTGGAACTCGGCCAGGCTTCTGCCTTGGGGTAATAATCTGCAAAACATGAACAGTATACCTGGACAACAACAAACGCAGGTCGTTTTCAGCCATCCAGTGACCCAGTTAATGAATCTTTAGTACTGAGAATGCACATCTAGCCTGTCCAGCTTTTACAAAAAAATAAAATTTGAATAATTCAGTGTTTGAGAAGACTTTATAATCAGCATTGATTGTTTGAGCACAGATATCAAGCATCACTCAACGAGCCGGCGAGATCGCCCCGGCATTTTGGGCCGAAAACTCTTGGCCCTCGATGAACCCAAGCACCCGATGCTTCAGGCAGATTCGGAAGCCAAACGCGGTAAACGCTGAAAGAAGATTGGCGCCAAATTTTTCTCTGGCTCAGTAAGATGTTTTTTTTTCTTCAGTCTTCGTCATCTTTTGCGCGCGCCGGTTCTGCTGAAGAGGGCACATATAAGCTGACGGTTGCCCGGGGCAACGCAGCATGAAGAGGACAGTAACTCGAGCAAAATAAACAGAGTCAAGAACCGAATCCATGATCATTTTGATCGCAGTGCTCGTTGACTTGAATGTACCGATACTTATACATTTCATTATTAGTCATTATTTTTTTTCTTTCCGAGCACGTGACGAATTATTTCAACATTTTTGTCTAATAAATAATTGCCGAATCTCATTACATTTGTCATACACTAATGTTGCAAGGTTTGCTGACGGTCCTTTTTTTTTTTGGTGAGTTGTCAATAAAGAGTTCTGCTAAAATAGATTACGTAGAAATCAAAACGTGGTTTATAACAAAGCTGTAGATTAATTTTCCAGGCGACAGAGGGCGCCACTCGCGTTTAACAAAGATAAATCGTCTAAATCTGTGCTTTTTAATTCCACATACTCTGTCGCGTAGTATTTATTTTCTTTTGATTGTTCGCTCCCCTTAAAAAATGTAAGGCAATCATTTACAAAGATAAACACCAATTTGTCTGGTACCTACTTTTATTTTTAAATTTTTTTTGATATATTAAATATTTAACTCTATGAGATCGGTTGTGTAGCTTTTATCTTGTAATTATCAAAGGAGAAAGAGGGCGCCATTTTCTTTGTTAATATGGAAACAAGAGAGGGCGCTATTTAGTATCAAGCACGTCGCGCAACTCGGCGGCAGATCAGACTATTGTAAACGGCTATTGTGTGTGCACAGTATTCAAATTCCCATAGACACCAGTATTAAATCTCCATACTTCAATATTCTTTTTAAAAATACTCAAAACTCTCACGGCTGTTCAGGCTGCACAGAAAAATTATTATCAACATATCACCTTTCATCAATTTTTTGGTGTGTTGACCATTGACTTTTTGGAGAAATTCTCACCCAAAGAAGACCACCCCTGAAACGACAGATGTTTCCAGAACTGGAAAAGCAGCCATTTTGAAAAGGATCCCTCCATGAATAGCGCCACTTTCGGACCCAATTGCATCCAAAAGGCTAAGAATTGGAAGCCCCAAGTCCAGGCCAGAGGTACAATGCCACATGTCTTCGATCCCCCAATTCCATGGCTCTCAGAACTCTCTAATATAGAATAGGTTGAGTGTGTAACTTGTATTCATGAGTTCGGCGGACGGATTTTGGCCTATTTACTGGGGTGGTGCTTTGAATATCGCTTGCCATGGACGGTAAATTTTAGTTACCCGTACAACCTACATTGCGCCCTCTATCATCCGACTCAGCATTAAAGAGATTATTCAGTTGTTCAGAATAATTCGTTAGTGGACTTCAGTGAATCGAATATCAAGAGAGCTATGTTGTTTTCACTTTAAAAGCAATTTTGGTCGAACTCTGTTTAACAATTGTTTTGGTGACGAAAAAACTGGCTTAGAAAGAAAAGCTGATGCCCCGAGTATTCTCCCTGTTTTTAAACATTGATCGTGAATCTGCTCAGTGTGCGTCAGCAATTTTCAGAGTTTATTAGTAATAGCGCCCTCGTGTGACACTAACGTTCGTGGCGTTCGTGGCGGGGGCCGGGTACGAGCGAAGTTAACTCTTGGCTTCATCATGGTGCAGAGGTCACTGATTCTGCGCGGTACAATTTTGCTTGTTCGAATTCAATCATTTCGGTATCGACTATAGCCCACAGTTCTTCCTACCTTGAAGATTCCGCAAAGATATTGAATCAACCTGTACTAGAACGAGCCGAACCCACATACTGCTAAACTTGCACGGCGCCCTCTATCGACCGCAGGCATAAACGTTTCAAGCCCGCTCCCTTTTTCTCCAATTAACTAAGAACGATTTTAAGGCTCTGCATGGTTGTCAAAAATTGTAGGATATTACAAGGGGCCGAAGCATTACTCGAAGGCACATCCAAACAACATTACAGTCAATTTGGCCAAGAACAAGCCACGGTTCACTCTCAAATTGCTTAATCCTTTCTTATCAATAAAAGGCCGCACAGTCATAATGCATTGTTTATGTACAAATGAGTCTTTAATCAGATTTCAACAAAAATGCAAGGACTAAAGAAACTCCACTTATTTCTACTTTTAACCAAATTAATGACAACGTCTAATAATATTTACAGAGCTGAGGCAGAAAACTGAGCTACGAAGATAAAATAATGTACAGTGAAGAGTTATTTTCTTTTATCGGTAAAAACCAAGTTTTGTAAAATCAACAGAGTGCGCCCTTTACATAAACCATACTGAACAACAAACTTCGATCAGCATAACACTACAGGAAATTTCATTTCAGACGCACACAATTCATGATAATTTGTTTTTATCTAATAGTACTTTCTTATTGCACTTTCTGATACTCATGAACATTTTCCATTGCTCGAATGTAAGGAAACTCGTATCCTATTGTTGCATTGAATATATTCTTAAGTTTAATTATTTGTTGTTTACTCTATATATCTCAAACGGAACTCAGAGAATTTAATTCGCCTTAAAATTTGGAATTGCACGTTTAATTCTGGTTCAATTAACACCTCTTATTATTGGAATGATTATGTAAATTAGAGGTCATAAGGGGCCAATGGCAGCCGATCGGAGGTCTGACGTCATGATACAATTGCACGAAATTACAATAAGCATACTTATCACTTTAAATGAAGATTATACATTTCAGTTTCACAGTTTTATCTTGTTTGTTTCAAGACTGTGAGAGTATAACTGATACCGCAAACTTTACGGACCAATCTCAATACATAAACAATTGCGACATAAGTGGCGCGAAAAAAATATTACTGAACAAAATCATGAACGAAATTTTGATCATAAAAATAACCGCTTATTCACTCCTCGGTCACCAGAAATGACTTATAGCTATATACATGAGTTTATTTCTGACATCTCAACCGTGATTTGGAGGTCCATCTCTCCTTCTTTCTGTGGTTTTTCTTTTACTAAATAACAAAAATAAACTCCCTAAACATTTTCCCTGTTTTTGGCAGACGACTCCCTGTGCACCAGGTCAGCGTGCTCCTTGGCTTTGAGACGCAGAGCCGCCACGCTGGAACTACTGACACTGTCATCACTACAGGAACTAAAAGTCCCCTGCAGGTCACCGTTGGGGGCGCCCAACACGTCCTCCTTGGTTTCTTTAGACGTCATGGAGGTCATGTGGCAGCCGCAGGCCGGTAGAGGGAGCCCTGTGTGGAGATGGGGGATGCCTGCTCCTTCGCGGAGGGCGGCAACTGCAATCATGCTGTGGGTATCATAGGGGTGAGTCAGTTGAGTCACTAAAACCATGTCAACAATTATTATGATGAAAATGTATCAATATCTTACGTGATACCGAGTGTTTGTTCGTGCCACCTAAACTCCAGTAGGAGAATCGGGTCGTTTCGGATCGTCTCCTCTTGGGTATGTCAGATTAATCATGTTTATTACTGTTTCATGTCGTGAAGAAAGAAGTAGAGGAGACAAGATCGTTCGTTTTCCGCCATAAAGACTCGAACATTTGTGTCCACATGGGAATCTGAAATTCATAGCAGGGTACCTGATGTATGGGTGGTACCATTAGCACCCTGTTGAGATTGTGATCATATTGATGTAGTTGCGTTCGGGAAATAATTTTAATTTTACTAAAAATATCAGAGGACAACTTTACCTTTCTCTGAGTGAGTTATGCGCTGCCCTGGCCATGGTCTCGTTGTACAGGAAGCCAGCGGACGACGGTGTGATGGCCGGCGGCCGGACCGCCCCGGCTGCCGCTGCAGCCGCGGCCAACCAAGGGTTACCGGTAAAACTCACGTTAGCGGCCGCTCCGGGGTAGGTACCAGTGATCTGACGGGTACGCCACGGGTCGATGCCCAGCCGCTGGCGGGCCATCTTACGCCACTTGGCACGGCGGTTTTGGAACCAAACCTGAAACATAAAACGTTGTCGAATGAGAGAGACAGGGTTCGTTTAATGTCAACCAACTAGGTCGAGGAGTGGTGGCGCTATTTGTAAAGATTAAATTTGGACGGGTAAATACAAAAGAGTTGATTCACTGCAAATAGCGCCCTCTTGTTGTGTCCACCATTATCTCATAAATACTAACCAAGACGGAGAGGAGGTCATATCAACTTGTAAACAGCGTTGTATATCAAACGCCATATATAATTGTGATCTTGATAATAATGATGACAACAGGCCAATTTTGTGAAAGGGTCCTCTTTGAAGATACTGTGCGTGTTATACCTGCACTCTTGCTTCCGTCAGATTGATGCGCATGGCGAGATCTTCGCGGACGAATACATCCGGGTAATGCGTCTTGGAGAAGAGCGTCTCCAGTTCACTCAGCTGCTGCGGTGTGAAAGTAGTCCGGTTGCGTCGCTGCAGAAAAAAGGACAAAAACAAGAAACAGAATAGTTAAATGTGCAGCTTGACATTCTTTTTGCATCATTATGAATCATGAATGTTCATATCGCCAGTCAGGTCATTATGGGAAGCGGCTGGACACCATGTGACACAGAGGGCTCTCCCTAAAAGCTCACTTGTGATGGACACAATCTGACTCTAGGCGGCGCTGTTCATGACTGCGTCGTTTGCCAACAAGAACAAACGTATTTCTGATAAGAACGAGAACAGGGGCAAACTTTTTACAGACCAAAGGAAAGAAATCAACCAACAGAAAGAAGGGCTGGATGCTTACTGCATGTACCTGGCGACGCCGGTTGTACATCAGTTCGTCCATTAACAGCTCTTCGCCTAACGCCGATGTGATGGTAGAGGGCGTCATCATCCCGTGTGTGCTACTCCCTGTAACTGCAACGATAAATGGGGAGATACGGGTTTTTTTTGTGACACTTTGAGCTTTCTGATAAGTAACTTTACAATAAGAAGAAAGGAGAGATACATAAAGAGCAAGAACAGATTTATGATTTCACTTTGACGCGCTCAAACAAAAATCTGTATTACTAATCGCAGCAACTGTACCAAGCTTTCTCTTTCTTCCAAAACCAGGGAAGTTTCCAAGTTACATAGCAAGATAAAATTTTCGTAACAGCTAATTTTTTTTCTAGTGTTGCAAACATGTTTTAGTCTGAAAGTAGCAAGTTACAAAATTGGGACCTAAAGCTAAGGCATTTTTGGACCACTTGTGAAGTTGGACTCCAAAAAATTGAAATCTTCGTGTACTTTGCATTCACCAAAAAAAAGAGTAATGTTAAACCTTGACTATCAAAGAATTATATTTGTCTGTACCGGTTGTAATCTTCTTGAGATTTACAACGACAGGGAAAAGTATCACATTGATAAATTATTACTTCTCGTCTTAGTTTGGTGGATGCGCATGTCATCAGTAGAGTCCGAGCCATAACCAAACGCATCTGGGAAATTGGAATACGTTAGCAAATCACTTTGATTACTTACACATATTTCCCTCGGCCGGCATTTAATTATCAAGAAGGATACATAGTGTCAATGCCGTTATTTTAATCAGGGAGGATGGCTAGGGTTTCCTTGTTTGTTATTTAATAGCTTCACCATTACCGACGGAAGCTAATGATGGGTCCTCCTGAGCCTCCGCGCCCGCCTAGCTCGAATCAAATTTACGGCCGTAAAAAACTCATCTCGGAACTTGATTAATCTTGAGGCTGGAAGGACTTTTTGATATCTCTGCGTGGTATACATGTAATCATCGCTATAAACGGACGTCGCAGACTATAATTTATCTTCTCTGTACTTCTCCTCTTTTATCCTTGGGTAATTTTTGATTACCTTAATATTTCACGTTAATGATGGGGAAGAATACAGGCGCGCCGCTGGCTCTCAACTTGGGACAAAAGCAAATGCACACACTGTGATACATGATAACAATTTATCATTATTCTTATGTTTAAAATCTGTTCAACCAATGTGTTATTTATTTATCGTTTATTTATCGTTGCTCCTTCCGACTTTCGCCTGTAAACAGAATTTGTCGTTTTTCATTATGTCATGAAGAGTTATCGATGGATAAATAAAAAATCATTTTGTACCTAAAAGAGGCAAGTGGTTCGGCCTGTTCAAATACATTTGAGTACATTATCTTTGTAATGTCATATTTAAATAAAAATTACAACTGTATTTTTTATAACCTTTTTTCGACAACATAACATTTTTTCGTTTCTAAGTCACACTCATAGAAGGGTATTTAATTCATTGAGACTAATTTCAAGGGGAAAAAAACAAAGAAAGAAAACTAAAATTGCAGTTTATGAGTAAACGTTTGAGACTGTTTCAATAAATTATTGCAATGAGATGTTAGGATACACACTTTGTAGGACACAATTCGAAGTTTGATTTTTGCTTTGTTTGAAAATAGTTTTGAAGTTTGCTCGCCCCAACGAACAATAGGGTGCCTGTACTTTGAATGTTATGACAACGAATAATGATGAACGGAAGAAGTGATAATTGTTTTCATTCTTCCTAAAGGAAGGGGAGCGTTCCCAGTTTAATGACCCTGTAGACTTGATTGAAAAAAAATAAAAGGATGAGTTCTGAGAAATATCAGATCATCGGACAGCCTCAATCGCTGGATAAAATGCACCGTGGTTGGTGCCCCTCTTATCTGTCAATGAAGTCATAACAACGTGTCATTCAATAGGTTCGTTACGGACGCACGCACGCACGCTCATATTAGATGAAAAAATGAAGACAAAAAGAAGAAAGCTTTTAAAAAAAAGTGGGTCGAAAATATGCTTAGGGTGTAATTAAGGCTGTTAATCTGGGCGGGGAGTTTATGATAACTTGACACGCTGAAAAACAGAGTCGATGGATCGAAATGGTGCGGAGAGTCAACGGGTATGCATTAAGTAATGCTGGTGGGGTGAAAATTAAAAGTATCTGATGTGAGTGTTCCAGGGCTATGCGAAGCTGGGTCGCGTTTTGCTGAACGGAATGTTTGGGTAGAAAGGTCTGGTACTTATTTTCTGCTGTGTCCTGATCATTTTTTTCTTCTCGCTGATGACTCAAAATTTAGATATTGTTGTTTTGTTTGAGGCAATAAAGATAAACACCCTGGTGTCATTTTAGTGTAACACGGTGTGGCTTTTGCATTGAAATGTGAAATCATTACACCAATTATCATCGAAAAAAATGTGTTTTATTCGGAAAAGTTCCATCGTGTATTTGTTCTCAGTTTCGACGTTACTGAGATTAAGTTCAATTTTGTGAAAAGTTTCAGCACAAGGCAACAATGGTCGTTCACTTTTACGACCGCACATCTGAAATAAATCCATCGTCGGCCGAAGCAAATCAAAAGATGATTAGCGAGTCACCGAGCCCCGAAAATTGAAAATGAGCAGAAACATTCTCGGGCTGTTAATTGAAATCCCGCTGAACAAAGAAACACGTGACGATAACCTGATTCTCTTGCTTTTTTACACCGCTGGGGAAAAAAGAACCTGCTGCGATATATCACCGGTTTGACGCCCAATTTCCGAGATTATTTGCCTCAATTTCCCACCCTTCTTTTTACGATTAAACAATTCTGAGCAGACCCAAACAGCCATCATCACCTCGGCTACGCCTGCTCAGATCAAGACGGGAGCAAAGAACAGAAGACGAAGAAGAAAATACCGACCGAAAACCAATTACTATCTCTCGCGATTTTATTCGCACCTTATTTGTATTTATTAATAACAGAAGCAGACGAATTATTTCCTTTAATCAAGTCCCGATACCGGGCATAGCCAATGACAGGCGCGTCGCTCATCGTTTGGCCGTCTGCTGCCGGGATTGGAATGACATTAAAGGGAAAGTGTGATCAGTAGAAAAAGAAGTAAAACAATAGTAACACAGAAAGTGCGGACTTTTATTGAGTTTGTGCGTTAAATTTAAGGATTAATTTGTTGCAACGTGAACCCCAAAAACCTCTCTCACTACTTCACCTAAATATATTTTTGGCAGACAATTCTGTCGTAAATATTTTCTAAACCTAAAACTTTAAGCCTTTTTCTTCATTTTTTTTCAAATTTTATTTCTCTTTTCAAACAGCAAATTGTCATATCTTAGAGCTCAGTTTTTTTATAATTATAATTAACCGTGGAAACAGAAACCACTCTTGCAGCGGGTTACGTCTCTCTAATATCGTGTTTTGGTGTGAAATAACTTTTTTCAACTGTACTTTTGTAACGAAAATATTTGATCCTCAACAAACCTCGATTTCTTCTCCATAATACCTATCATTTGAGGTTGCCCCAGTAAAATATTTAATAAAGTTGAGGTAATCGTTAAAATGTTTCAAAAACCGTAAGAATATCTTGGTTTTTGCGCAGCATCTTTTAAACGAAACCCGTCGAGAGACTTGGCACGGCACTCGCACCGATGAAAGCCTACGGCGAAAAACCATGATTTCCCCCGTTTAACCTGCGGGGATTTGTTTCTCGTATGATCGTAGAAAAGAGGCCAGTTATGATCTGTATCAACACGTTGAGGTGTAACAAATTACGGATTAGTATTAAGAAAGGATTGGCCCGTCGGGGGGGGGGGGGCTGTTGAGGGAAGATTTAGCTAACCGAAATACCTCCATTAAGGAGATGAAAACCATAGGCTGTGAAGGGAATGGTGGAAAATGTCCCCGGCAGCATGGTGTCGATGATGATGATGATGATGATTATGATGAAGGCCTTGCGAGAATTACATGAGAATCGGATGAGGGAAAACGGCTTTTCCTGCGGTCGGGATGCCTGCTGACGTCCGCTCGCACGCGCGTGGGGTGTAAAAATTAATGATTTCACCAGCGGCTTGGTAATGACAAGTAAAACCTCGTCCGTTATTTTAACTCTCTGCCTCCCTTTCTTCTTCCTATTTCACCTCTGTCTTCGCTGCTGGCAAAGGGATGACTCTAATTCAGTCTGTTGCTAAGATTGTATCAACTAATAGCCGTATTGATGTATTCTCATCAGATGCCTGCTGTGTATACACAGTTGCAAGGGGTCTGTATAAATGGCTGAGCGGATGAGATATGAAGGCAATTACTTAGCGAGTGACCGAACGGTGGCGAAGGGAGGAATATCTGGGTGGACTGCGGCTGGAGGGGGAGGGAAGTAACGACGGATAACAGATGCACGGCTTTTCGTTTGGAGATAGTTGAACTTATTCCGGCGATGATAAAACAAAATATGCAATAGCTCTTGTAAATCTTATTTGTTCATTTTGAATTTCACTTTGTAGGCCCTATTTTCTTTTACAAAGCGAGTCGTTGTACACAGAATAAATACATATAGCCGTCTTTAATCGAAAAGCAATAAGGAACCTTAACTTGCATACAAGAATATAGGTCACTGTATGCATCATTAAATATAACAATAAGGACCAAGTTGGAAGAATAAAAGTTAATTTGTGGATGCGAATTCGACACATTTTACTGCTGCCCTTGTGCTATGTGCAATCGTCAATCCACCCGGGGCTAACATGGGCATCAACTTCTGATTAAATACGCGTTACTCACGTCTTTTGTTTCACCAGATTATTCCTTTTCCCGCGCTTCTTTACTAAGGCCGCAAAGAGTCTCCGAGGCGGTAACCAGACCCGGGATTAAATTCCTTCTCACCTAGGCTCGTCACCTCTAGTTTTTTTTTCTTCTTCTCATCTCCTATCCCGCTCGTCGTCTTCGTTCGCTCGACTCGCCAACGAGGGGTTAATCCGCTTCGGTGTGGCGTTTCATTCAAAACACGATTGACCCGCTTTTTGGGGGGTTCCTTCTGTTTCTGTTTCTGGTTGTTACATCGGCAGGAGCGGCGGGCTTTACATCCTTAAGCCTGCCGTCAATCGTCCCGCCTTTTACGGCCCTTTAATCTCGAAGACATTAATTTGCTCCGATGAGGGAAATTCCTGGCGTCTGTTTGTCTAGCCGACTCATTCTTGTCTTGGATTGACTTCTTTTTCCTTTTTTTTGTTCTCCCGTAGAAGTGCCGTGTGCATTGCTTTATTTATTTCATGATACTCTTGTTTTTAAAAAGGTTTCGTCAGCAACGTGTGAAAAACGGTTGCGAATCACCGTATTATTTTGTGATCAAATCCAATAGAATGAGTCACAAATCGGCAGGGATTTTTTTGCATTAGAACTTTTACAATCCTGTTCAAGGAAAATCAACTGAATCAGTCGGTTTGCCAACTGTTCACTCTAACAACAGCGTAGTCAAAATATTGATTGGTTTTCTTAGTTTTTGAAAATTGACTAGGAATTTGGTTAAACATGCAAAGTTTCATACTATGACTAGAAAAAGTAGTTGGGTTCGACTCCAATTGCAGTTATTTGCATAACTATTTTTCCAAAGTCAGATTGACTGATTTTCAGTTGCACCCAGCTGACCCTGAATGGCTAGTCAAATTGAACTGGTTT